AGACATGTATGAGGCTCTTTCCATTGAAGACACCTATCCCAGTGACAACTGTGTGAGGAATTTGGAAAGATTTACCTCCTGTGATTGTGGGACAGGAATTAGGAAAAATGTTCCCCGATAGATCACAGACAAAAAAAAAAAAAAAGAAAAAATGTAAATTGACAGGTGTTCTAACTATTACTCAAGCTGTCCACATACCAACCGAAAATCCTATCAGTCTGTGTGGTCCCCCCCATATGCTTAATGTACCATATTACCATTACTGTATGCATAGATCATGTGTATATTCCCCCCCTGTATCAGGCAGAGTCAGTCATCTCAGCCATGTAGACTGCAGAGTTTAGTCTAACAGATCTATCTTCTAAACTCGCTGGGAGTGATTAACCACAGGAGTATAGCATGTGCACATTCAAAGTTAATGGTCGCTTTACAAAGACATTTCACTCATCTTCAGTTACAAAGTAAAAAATCATTTTACAAAAAATTTCCAATCAAGTGCAAGAGAATAATTTTAAAAAAGGATTTCTGATTGCACAGGATTTAAAGTCAGCACAGCTTCAATACATTCACCAAGCTAAATTAGGTAAAGCTCTGATGACCCCAATCATGTGTGAAGAAAAAAACAGGTTTTTTTGTATTCCCTTGCACTTGATTGGAAATTCCTTTGCAAAGTGAGTTTTCACATCATTCACCAAGATACATGAAAATGTACTTTGAATGTGAACATACTTTACCCTTTTAGTAAATTCTGATCAGTATACACCCCCTTGGGCTTTAGGAAGTATGCAAGTTTTTTTACTCATACAATTTGACATGGATTACATGGAGCTTTGATGTGCAGTTCCTGTATTAAAGTTAAGTTACTGTGCATTTTTCATATGTCAAAATGAAGAAAAAAAAAAAAAAAAAAAAAAAAACACCTGCTGCCTGCATGACTTTTGTGGCCCATTCACACTTGGGCTCACACAGGAACGATGTGGGAAACTACATTGTGATTCGGACAGGAAACGCACTGCATTCCTGTTCAAATCGCATCGTAAAAAAAAAAATATATATATATATATAATAGTATTGATTGTGGTATCTGAGCATTTACAAGAGTACTCGTGCAGATGCTTAGCATCAGCACCTGTATCAGTGCAACTCTACCTTTAACTGTACCACGATGCACAAAGCAGAATCAGGGCTCCAGAATTTTACAGCACTATCATGTGTTGTAGTGCCCGAAACTGATATAGGCAAAAAAGGTGTAAATATACCATTAACAGCCATTTATAAAATCATGGTTTTAACACACACTGCTAGCACTAGTTTACATGTGTGCAATTACTCTTCCCATGTATATCCAAACCTTAAATTTTGTAAAGCGCTGCTGAATAATAATAATTATTCCTTCTTTTAAGATTCAAATTCTTTCACTTTCACTTCTCCCTGCTACGTCCAGGACATTGGCGGCTGGTACATGGATCGAGATTTCGCCAGTTCAGCATGGACCAGCCAAATTTTGATCCATGTGAGGCCACTGCGGTTGAACAGAAGTTGATCTGCCTGGTCAGTATATTTTTGCTTGATCAGTGTTCCAGGCAATAGTTCGGTGGGAAGGATTCCCCCAGCCACCTCAAAATGTGTGTATGGGGAATCTAGTCAGCGTTTGTTTTTTGTTTTTTTCTCCATTCAACCCGCTAGTTGAAAGGAAAAAAAAAAAAAAAAAAAAGAAGACGACGACCACCACCATGTATGGACAGCTTTAGGCAGCCCTTAAAACGATTGGGCTGGCAATGCAATGAAATATCCAAAAAGGGCATGTCTAATTCCAACACAGCATACCACCATGCAGAGTAGTGTGTTACCGTGCATTGGGAAGTGCTGCAACTCTTGGTGTTGGGAGACTCACTGCCTTAATGCATTTAGAATAACCCCACGATGTACTAATGCACACAACATCCACTGCGGCACAAAACGGTTTCAGTCCTTAGGCTTGGTTCACACTTCAGCGACTTGGCATCCGACCCATGTCACATGACTTGTGAAATCCCATGTTAGTCAATGAGAGCCATCTTAATTAGCACTACTGAAGTCACTCAGACTTTAGAAAAAGGTTCCTGTACTACTTCAAGGAGACTTTTATCCAACTTGTGCCCATAGACTTTAATGGAAGTCGCCTCCAAGTCAGATCCTCATCTATACGATGTCATTTGGATCGGACATTATAGGAAGATTACCCAGGTAAAGTCACATGACATGAAAGTTATACTCAAGTCGCCTGGCCAGGTTGCAGTAGTGTGAAACAAACCTTTGTTTGAGCAGCTCAACACTACTTCTTCTACTACTACTTCTGTGTGTATCTCACAAGCAGACTTTGAAGAACTACATATACAGGCTGGCTGTAATGCCACCATGTCAAGCCTCCTTTGGCCAATTACAACAACTGTCTATTAAGTCTGTAAAGCAGAACAGAAAAATCTTCAAAACAAAATGGATGTGATCAGTGGCTGTTCCGAGTGTAAGGGGGGGGAAAAAAAAAAAAAAAAATGCATAAACTGTATTCTTATGAACCAAAAGTCTCAGTGTATTAAAAAGAAGAAAGTGTTGCCTCCAGCACTCACTTGAAAGTGGCAAAACATGCTTGCAAAATTTAGTATTTACAGCACGTGATGTCTCGCATGTGTAATATAATATAGGAAGACCAATACATGGGAAGAGAACACACACACAAAATGGAGTGTGGAAACATCAAGCAATCTGTTGGATAAGCCATTTCAGTACACTTGGGAAAAGGCAGCAATAAAAAAGGTTTGTTTTTTTTAATGATTATTAAGTTAGAGGAAAATCCCTCCAAATGTGAGTGTCCCCATTGGAAGATTTCCTCCCTATTACTGTTTAGGGGACAACTTAAAATTCGGGATCTTTATACATGCAGTTTAGTCGATAATGGTAAAACGTGACATCAAGTGGATAGTTTTCCCAACAGGGGCACAGACAGCAATAAAAACCTGACTGCTGTTCCAAGCAAAAATATTATAAAAAAATTAAAAGAAAAAAAAAAAAAAAAAAAATGTATATGAACATTTACAGAAAATGTATGTTTAAAGTGGTTTGAAAGCCTCAAGGCTCACTGGGCAGATTGATAACAGTGGGAGCCATTGGCGTCCACTGCTGTCAACTAAATTCTGTGATGAGGGAGCGGGGGGGAGGTCAGTGGGCATCATTTGTAAGTGTTTGAGAGAGCATAATCTTGGATAGTCAGTCTGGCCCCAAGCCAGTCACCTTTATTTTCCAACGATTCAAAAAGGGAGAATCTGAAGTGCTACTGTACAAGTGTAGCAGGACTTCAGAGTCTGACTTGTGACTCTTACAACATGACTCAAGCCATGGAATTTCTCACAGTACACTTATGTATTACACTGATAATTAAGAGACAGTAGTAGCAGCCCAAACAGCAGAGCTTTATAAGATGGATCTCAAACTATTGTGAAGGATTAAAAAAGAAGGACAACTTCAGCAAGACATCAGTTGCGCATAGGGTGGGGCATGGGTTCAAGGTATTCACTACTGTCTAGGATCAAACCACCCCCTCCACATTGCTATAAAAATCCAGATAGACATTTCTGCCACGTTACCATTTAAACTACAAATGTATCCAAAGCCAAAATGTTTTTATAGTTTAGAGTTTTTAGTATATCTCAAGGTTTGTTTTTGCCATATGTGTGCCATTGGAAAGATGTCCCTTCACAGCCTGTCCTGTAATAACAGGAAGTCTCTCCAAAGCAAGGGGAAGTCTCCCTTTACCGTTTATAACATTTCCCTTTATTCCCATTCTGCCAACAGATCAAAATTTAGGAAAAATAGGAGGATTTACCTTCAGATACACAGTTTTTCAATTAAGGTGGCTGTAAAAGGCAGAAGACTTTCTACCTGCATGCAGGTAAAAAAAAACCCTGAGTGCAGATCCCCCGAGTCCCCCTTATACTAACCAAATTCCAATCTTGATCCAGCAATGGGCATGAGAGTCAAGTCCCTCTCCCTCCTGATTGGCTATTGAAAACAGCAGGAGCCAATAGCTTCCGCTGCTGTCTCTGTCACAGCCATTGAGGAGGGAGAGGGGAAGCAAGGCCGAGCCACATTCTAGTGTGCCTTATGGACACATAGAAGTAGCTTGGAGGAAAGCCCGTTCAAGTGTCCCCATAGCAAGCAGCTTACTATGGTGGGTCCTTAATGGGAAAGGGGACCAGTAGCTCTGGCAGGGGACACAAAAAGAGGACAATCGGGGCTGCTATGTACAAAAACATTGCACAGAGAAGAAAGTATGACATGTTTGTTACTTAAAAAAAGAAAAATTGATCCTTTACAATCTTTTATAGTGGAGTAACCATAGGAAAATAGGCAGACTGATCTTCTAATGTCACAAGCCAACGACACAACCAGCCTAGCTGAAAAATGATTCTAAGCCGTTCCATAGGAAGCCCCAATATAGCAGAGATTGGTTCTGTGTCTGACTCAACCAGAAACCACACAATGAGAATTCAAGTTTTGAGAAAAGAGGATCTGTGGCCCATCAGCATAGTAGCAATGCTGAGCAAACTGTTGGCGCTATATAAATACTGTATAATAGTAATAATGCTATTAACTCACGATGCACCCCAACCAACGCCATTCAATTTAAGTAGACTTCCTTTAAGAAAACAATGCAGATATTTTAGGCAATGGAAAAAAAAAAAAAATATATATATATATATATATATATATATATATATATGGTTTGAAGGATTGATATACCCCCTCTGTATCCTAATGTGCAGCACTGTTCCTCAGTATGTTTCTATAGGTACAGTTCCTTTTCAGCTGCATGCTTGTGCATTGGGGGATGGGCGGTTAAACAAAGGGGAAGGAAGGGAATACAAAAAAGGAGGAAGAGACCATCCCTGGGTGCCCACTAGATGGCTCTGTTACACAGCACATGGCAGATCCGATATGCAGTCTCATAGTCCAGAGATACTCACTTATTCAAGAACTCCTGTAAACCACGGATGCGCTGTTCCACAGTCTGCGCATTACTGATGTTGAAGAATGGGGTTTTAGATGGCAATTCTGGCAGATCTCTAAAATAAAAGCATACAAAATAAATCTTAGCTGGAACAATATATACATAACACATGTGAGCAGAGAACAATGTATAAGGTGTGGGTTGAAGGCCTTCCTTTTGGTACTAGTATAAGGAAAGGGGAAAGATCTGTTTGAGACAACCAAACTACAGCGGTCATGTTTCATATGTGCAGGCTGCCCCACTTTATTCATTTAAATGTTTAAGTAATAAGCATTCTTGTCTATTCTAAACGATGTCTTTGTTGTGGTCTGGCAGAGCAGGGTTCAAACACCGACTGAGTTTTCTGAGCTCTCCATCACTGGCAGAAGATCTTCCATACTGCATGTACAACTAGAACAAGCAGAGTTTGGCTTTTTAGCAAAGCTGCCGTTGTCACCAGCATACGTTATTCTACTAAATCACAGAAAGCATTTCTGGGTCCTTCACCTCCAAGAAATGTATGGAGAATTAAATCCATCTGCGTAAATGATAGTGTAGACCAGGGGTCTCCAAACTTTCTAAATATAAGGGCCAGTTTATAGTCCTTTAGATTTTATGGGGACAGACTGGTCAGCGGCAGTAGAAATTTTTCTGGCATTAGTGGGAGTAAATAAATATCGCCACATTTGGTCTTGGGGGGGGGGGGGGGGGGGGGGGGGGGGGGGGGGGGGGGGGGGGGGGGGGGGGCGGGGGGGGGGGGGGGTGGGGGGGGCGGGGGGGGGGGGAATAATGCCCCATCATTGCTAGCACTGGGAGGGATTGGAGTCTGTGGTAGAAATGATGCTCCATTGTTGGTATCAGTGGGAGGAATAGTGCCCCACGGGCCATATCTGGCCTCAGGACCACAGTTTGGGGACCTCTGGTTTACCCCCTTATTTTGTATTGAAGCAACAAATTATATTAATATACAACCACATTCCTTAAGACACAAAAATGCCCACGTATCTAATATACAATAGAATTCTAATGTGGTGACCACTGGTTTAGAGAAAAATCTAAACTTTGCCCACCATAGCAGAGTTCAAATTATAGCTCTATATAGTTCTTGTGAAGAGCAAAGAAATGTATCCAGACTCACTCCATTGTTTTAGAATGTGTATTAAAGCCTGTTTCCAATTACATATGCGGGATTCACTTCCTGCTGTGCTTCACAATGGATGCCCTATTCTGCTCCCTCAGTCAAGTCTTTGGGTGGGCTTGGTGTAAGGTGTAAAATAGCAACAAGCTTTTTAAAAACATGAGCAGAACATGCAGTTTTTTGCCCCCCATTTAAATATGCATGTAAAAGGGAACATTTAAAAGATTGTACTTTGTTTACAAAGACTATGTATATTTTTATTTCCTGTTGGGCTCCATAATGGATGTTTGCTTACGGCTTCTCACAATGAGGCTTCATGCACACCGAGTAAAAAAATCAGTAGTAAACCACACACAAAATCATTATTTATTAATATTTTTATTATATTATAAATCACAAAATTGGGGCCCCCTCGGCAGTTTAAGTCCTAATGTGCTAGTATGCACTGCATACTAACATTATATGGGCAGCACAGTGGCTAAATGGTTAGCACTTCGGCCTGGCAGTACTAGGGTGGTTGGTTCGAATCCCCACCAAGGCACCACCTGCCTGGAGTTTGCATGTTCTTCCTGTGCGGTTTTCCTCCGGGTACTCCAGTTTCCTCCCACACTCCAAAGACTTGCTGGTAGGAGAATTGGCTGCTGTCTAAATTGGCCCTAGTATGTGTATGTATGAATGCAAGTTAGTGACCTTAGATTGTACGCCCCTTGAGGGTTAGGGACTGATGTGAATGTACAATATATATGTAAAGCGCTGCGTAAAATTGATGGTGCCGTACTAGTACCTGAAATAAATGAATGACAGACCAGCCTGAAAACTAAGCCCTCCGCTGTAGGGGCTTGCATCTTCACAGGCTTCAGTCATATGGACAGTCATGGCTGTGGCACAGAGTTCTGAATGGACAGCACAGTCTACTCAGAGCCCAGTGTGTATGCGCTGGTGACTGCTGCTGCTAAGGTAGATGTCTCCTAAACCGTGCACATTTAGGAGATATTTACTGTATCTACATATTTACAAGCCTTACCTATAGGTAAAAATAAACCACATGAGTTTACAACCACTTCAAAACACTGCTTTTAGGGGCGTCTGACAGGGTTTTTTTGCATCTAAAAGCCCCTCCATGTTACCCTATATGTCCATACGTGATAGGCGTTTAGAGGCAGAGGCGTTTTGGAGACCACTAGGGAAAAAAAAAAAAAAAAAAAACACACCACGCACCACACAACAACCTGCTGCCAGCGTGTCAAAGAGCAGCAGCATTTTGGCAGAAAAATGCTTGGCACATGTAAACATGTCTAAACGCACATTACTTCTAGGTGCATCAAGCTCAAGCATTCATTTCAATGGCCAGATAAAATCAAGTCTAGATGGTTTACATTCATCAAGCGCTCTCTTTCTGCCAAAATGCTGCTGCCAGGAGGAAAGGCATATAGGAGAACTGTACAAACACCCTGTGTGTGCATGGGACATGGGTTGGTTTTGTGTAAAGTGTAAATAGAAGCAAGGATTATTGAATTAGTACACTTGTTAGATATGCATGTTAAAAAGAAAATTGAAAGGACTGTACTTTCTATGTAATTATAGAACCATGCATTGTGGGGGGGGGGGGGGGGGGTGTTAAAAACATAAGAGGTGGAACTGAACTCAATCTCACAGAATAACTCAAACAAATTAAATTAGGCCAGCATGCCAAGGTAAACAAGCCAATGCAGGAAAAGCTGTACATAACCAACACAATGCAGACTATCAACTTTTCCGGTCAGGCATCTGGACAAATCCCAATGTTATTGTTGGGATCCCCGCATAGCCTGCACCAGCTCTGTGATGTCAGCCAACAGTGGACTTTAGCCTGCTGTCATCTGAATCTGGGTCATAGGAGTTCAGAACAAAGTGCACTCATGTGATCCCTGGGAACGGAAAAGAGCTTTAGCCATACTTCTCCTTTAAATTTGTGCTTAACTCAGTTTGGAGGGATACCATTTTTGGTCATACAGATCAATACTAGAAAGAAAAAAAAAAAAAGAAAAAAAACACTCTAAAAAAAAACACTAGAATACATAGAACACTTCACTTCCTCCAAGAAGGAAAAGTAGTTTAGAAGACCGGTATAAGGCGGCTTACATTAACACTGCATTGCTCTGAAGCCTCTGACGTAGCCACACAAATTCTCTAAACCTCCTTCTGACTCGTGAGTTTTTTCTGGTGAAGCACATACTGTTCGTCTGCAAACATAAAAAGACAGGATAAGCACTTTGCACACCTCACCTGGTATCTGCTGACACAGAATAATTAACACTATAACCAAGGGGTGTCTCAGCACATTGACACAACAGAGGTGACATGAAATCATGAGAAATTAGGCTCCACCCTGATATCACCTGTTCTCCCGAGACTACAGATTGCCCAAAAGGGTAAATGGTAAAATGTCATGTCTACTGTATAGAACACGTCTCATCTCGGGATACCTGTGCCATAACAGCTTTTGGCTATTGTATATGGGAGTTTGGAGGTGTATTTGCCAAGCATTTGAGATAAGATTAGTATTTGTTCACATTGACTTGAATGGAGAAATAAAAGCACAAATTAATCTTAAAATAACCTTTAACATTAGTCTTAAAACTAATCTATGGATGTCCCCCTCTAACCAGTAATTAATAAAAAAAACATAATATGAAGCGAATTAATTTTAAAAAGGCGGCCATTCCCAATACAAATCGGATTGTAAAATTTCTTAGGCTCACTATACACATTGCAATTCGACCATACAACCTCTGTACAATCAATCAACTTTAGATCCAACAAAACTGTAATATGTGGATTTATCAAATTTATTTGTATCCAGTTAGGCAGACCCTTGAACTACAAACTTATTGGCAGATCTACAGCTTCTCAGACAGTTTGTACAATTTCCCTTAGAACTACCAACTACTATGTAGTGCAAGCTCCTGCATAATTGGATACAGATTGATTGGACTTTTGATCTAGATTTACTAAAACTAGTGCACACAGAATCTGGTGCTGTGCCAGCTTCTAACTTCAGCTTGTTAAATTAAGCTTTGGCATTAAAACCTGGAAGCGGATTGGTTTCGATGCACAAGATTCTGTGCGCACCAATTTCAGGAAATCTCCCCCGCAGTTTTGTTAAATCTAAAGTTGGTTGTACATAGATTGTATGGGCAGATTGTAATGTGGATGGTGTGTTAAAAATTACCCAAAACTCAGACAGCCTATCGAAAGAAATGATTAAAATGAGACAGAACTACATAGAACATTGCATGTGTTATACACACTAAGGCTGTCCATATATCATACAATTTTCTTGTACAATGCTTTAGATTTACCAAAATCATATAAGTAGGTCAAACCTAAATACGATCAATTTGCATGCACCCAGACAGGCCCTTGCACTACCTAGTTGAAGGTAAATCTAAAGGAAATTGAAGAAAATTGTATATATGTCCAGCTTAAAACACTTGTGGCTAAAGAAATACTAGATTTTTGCATGATCTTCTAATAATCTATTAGGCCTCGTTCACACCTATGTGGTGTGGAGTGTTAAAAAAAAAAAAATAAATAAATAAAAATCTTGCTTGCTGCATCTTTGATCCTCTCGTGAAAAACATGCGTTGTATAATGTTCAATGATAACGCACCTGAAACACAACAGCATCGCACAGATGTGAAACAGGCCTTACACTGGAAGTTATAACAAAGAATGGTTTTAAATACTTATTAGCACTAAACTGCATGGGCTTTCTAAAAGTTGGGAAATCGAAAAGCTATAAAAACTAAATTAAAAGATTACTACTTAAATACCACACCTTATCTATTGTTCAAATAATGTATCGTTAACATCAGATTTTTCACTATACTGTGGGAAGAAAAAAGTGCAGGAACAGCTAGCAAACCGAAGGAAGCTTGCCCTAGTTTTTGTATCTCAAACAAAAATTTAAATCTGTACTGTATAACTGGTTCAGCACAGCTAAATTGAAGCCAGCAAGCAATTTAATAAATTTAATCAGCACAATGACAGAATGGACATTATTATACAGTGTTTATAAAGCGCCAACAGTTTGCTCAGCGCTTTACAATATAAAAAGGGAGACAATACAGCAACAATACAGTTCAATACAAGAGGGATAGGAGGACCCTGCTCCTTGGAGCTTACAATCAAAGGGGACATGAGAGTCTTAATGCAATTTGCTCCACACTTACAAAGGAAAACTGAAGTCCTATTATATTTGCATAATCACTTATGATTTTAAAGTTATATGAAATCTTCCAGATATAGCATTATACACACACACACACACACACACACACACACACACACACCAACATGAAGCTATTGTCATAAAAAGAAAAAAAAAAAGTAATGGTTAAAAGAAATGTCTACTAGAGCTATACTTACATGAATGCAGATTTCATAATCCAGATAAGAGTGCCAGTCTTCTTTCTGTACTTTGGGGTCTCGGACCCAGATACAGATGGTCTCCTGTAAATGCATAGTTCAGAGTTAGAAGGCTGTGCAGTGTGAAGCTAGTTGAGAGTCTTCCAAATGAGGTCTGAAAGGAGGAAGTCAACTCTTATAGGCTTCCAGGAAAGAAAAAAAAAAAAAAAAGTCACCAGACCAGACACTCTGGAAATTCTCTGTGTGCTCACAGCCAATAAGAGTTTAAAAAGGGGAAGGGATAGGTTGGGGGTTTTCCCAAAATTACAAGTAATGCCTTCATAATAACAAAAGCATTACATATATATCATTGATTTAGTTTGTGTTTATGGATATCGAAGCTGCAAAATTTTTTTTCAAGTTCGTGCATATGTGCATAAAATTACTCTATAAGTGTCTCTCTGAATGCAGATTTATGGTACTTTCCCTTTACACCCTAAATGCTGCACTAAAATACAATTCTAAACATCACAATATGCAACAAACACATTGGCTAAAAGAGCTGAAATCAGAGGCATTAAAAAAATATAAAAATGCCTCTAAAAGCTGCATTTTTTTTTCTGCGTGCATGAGGCCCAAGGGACTTTTTATTAAAACAAACATGACCAAATGGTAAGGTTTTGGGTCTGATACGAGTGTTGGCATCTCCCAACTAAGGTTGGAGAAGTTCCACATACACCAGGTGGACTTTGAGTTTGGTGGTATTATAATAATTACTGCAACATCATTTTAGGTGCCAAATAAATGCAACCAACACCTATTTGAACATAGCCAACACTATTGATAATATCCTTAATAGCCATACCAATATACACCAAGTCACATTGTGAACATGAGCGCTGATTTAAAGTAGAACTCCAGAATCTGCTAGGCCACAATGCAGGGAGTTTGCTGCTCAGAGGCAGGTTTAAAACACATTTTGTGCTATGACTGCATACAAACTCACTTAAAGAGATGCCATTTTAAACACCATTGCTGGACAAAAACTGTCTGCACCAGAGACTCTAAATCACATATTAATAAACCACATAGATGATGGGCAGCAACAGCCATTGATTTGCACCAAGTACAAATCTGACAGTAGCCCTACTGGCATAGGGCGTACACCCTATGCACTTTTGGTGTGCTCCCTGTTTTGTAAACACCAGGTGTTTCCTTTTGGGGAGTGCATTCACTACACAAGTAAAAAAAAAAAAAAAAAAAAAAAAAAAAAAAAAAAAAAAAAAAGCACCTCTGGCAAGAATTCTACTGTAAAGACAAGAATCTAGACTTTATTAAAGGACATGTTCCCACTGCTACAGCCGCTGCCCCCCCAGATTATTTTATTATTTTCAGGTACGTATATAGCGCTGTCAATTTACATATATATTGTACATTCACATCAGTCCCTAACCCTCAAGGGGTGTACAATCTAAGGTCCCTAACTCACATCCATACCTAGACATACTAGGGCCAATTTAGACAGGAGCCAATTAACCTACCAGCATGTCTTTGGAGAGTGGGAGGAAACCGGAGTACCCGGAGGAAACCCACACAGGCACAGGGAGAACATGCAAACTCCAGGTAGGTGGTGCCGTGGTTGGGATTTGACCCAGCGACCCTAGTACTGCCAGGCAGAAGTGCTAACCATTTAACCACTGTGCTGCCCCCAGATAGTATTTATATATTACAGGTACTTTTATAGCTCCGTCAATTATATATTTACATCAGTTCCTAACCCTCAAAGGGCGTACAATCTAAGGTCTCTGATCCAATTAACCTACCAGCATGTCTTTGGAGTGTGGAGAGGAAACCGGATTACCCGGAGGAAACCTATGCGGGCAAAGGAAGAACATGCAAAACTCCTGGCAGGTGGTGCCATGGTTGGGATTTGAACCAATGACCCTAGTACTGCCAGGCAGAAGTCCTAACCATTCAGCCACTGTGCTACCCCCAAGTAGTATGCCTAATACTAGCTGTCAGTTTTTGTTTTTTTTTTAAATCAGGGAGAAGCAGTGTGGGGCTTTGCCCACATGGCCGCATCATTTCATTCGTAGAGATCTGTGAATGAACTACAAATAACATCGTTTGTAGATGTTTGCTTGTTATTCTCAAAACGGCGCTGTGGTAGTTCATCATTCGTCTTCCGGTCAGAGTTAAACGGTCTGCTCGTATGAGGTACAGGCACACAGATTAAACTGCCAGTCTGCTGGAGACATTCATGGCAATAGCAATCTGATCATTGGTGGAAAGCTTTCCAGGCTAAAACAAATAATTGAAAAAAAAAAAAAAAAAAAAAAAAAAAAAGCATTAATTATTTTTTTAAAAAGTGATCTGGTCCTGTAACAGGAGAGTGAGCCACTGTAGGGAAGCAGGTATGCTTGGACAGGACATTGTGTCCGTTAGAAAATGCCTAGTCTGTCCCTGACTGCACAAGGCTATAACCAGGTTCCTTAAGCTTTGAACTATATATGCAGCTGCTGTTTATGTTATTTCAATAAGACAAAAATTTGACCCCCTTTATGGCTTTTGTACATGAAGGATCCAAAAAATGTGTACAGGTGGTATAAAAAGGGGAAAGAAAATTCAACTTCTTACAAAAGAGAAACTCGGCTTGAAAGGGTTTGAGAAGCCCAGGTGTAGTGCAATGGTCTAGGTAAACAATCATTTCAATTTCCATTGAATCAGGTGAGCCCTCAATACTATCTAGTTGTTAAAACAAAAGGAGATCCCACAATCACATTTTAATCTAGGAGGCCAGTTTTAAAGCTAGCCATTCAAATGCTTATTGAAAACCAGACAATTCCCCCTAACAGGCTAAACAACATGGAGGAGGGAATCTCCACTCCCTGCTATTGTATGCAGCAGCCATGGCACCCACAGATGCCCAATTACACAAAGCAGTGTATATCTGGGGTACTTCCAAAAGAGAAGGAGAAAAGGAAAAAAAAGACAGAGGCCTCAGGAGAGTTCCTTAGTTTGACAGATAATTGGCTGAAATAAAACAATGAAAAAAGTATATTGCAATGGTGTACTCACAACTAAGGTTTCTGAGCTCCCAAATGGGGATCAGACAACCTGGAGTGAAAGCCTGCAGGGAATATGCCTGCATTGTCAGGGTTCCAGTGTGTTAAGAGGTTTATGAGCACCAAATGGGGTTTAAACCTCATACCCAAAAACAGTGACTGCAGCCGATAGGATACATTCTCTATTCTGCCAGTAGTTTTTCCACCCAGCTCTATTGATTTCTAAATCAACTTTCAAGTCGTGTGGGCGCTTGCAGGGCCAACCATTGCTTGAATGTTGGCCGATTCAGCAGGAATTGGTCAAACTTCGAGCAGTCTATGGCCAGCTCTAGGCTTGTTAACGAATAACTATTTTCCAGTGCTACAATACTATGACAGATCCAGCACACACCCTTTCTTGAAAATCTGTATTTATAGCCATGTTTCCCAGAAACATATCTGCATTTTTAACTTTAGCTTTTTTTACCAATGCCTACAAAGGCACTGCATTTGTCAACAGCTAATATTCTATTCATGGATAGTTTTGCTTAGCTGTTCACTGCCACTAGTACAATGACACATTCTTTGATTTGGCTGACTTTTCAGGAAGCTTCTCTTTCCCAATTCCCTAGCTTCCACGCTGATCCAGAGGCTTAAGTACCAAGTTGCTGACCTGAAAAAAAAAAAAAAAAAAGTTCAGGCATCATGACTTCACCTGCTGCATATTTTTTGCTGGGTCTGGGGGCTTAAAGTTCAAGACAACCAGGCAATTAGCACCAAGATAAACTAGAAAGAGCAGCCCCCATATTTCTACCAGCACGGGCTCTTTAAAGTAAATTTACAGCAAAAAAAAAAAAAATACAAAAAAAAAAAAAATGCAAAAAACAAAACCTATTTTGGAGGAACAGTCAGAACCTCTGTCAGGTACATATTTCCTGAGTCAAAGACATGGAGCATTGGATTGTTTGTTCCAGTAACTGTTCAGTTCAGTCTGAGATTTGTCAGTAAAATCTCTTTGTTAGGCTGATGTCCAAGAAAAAAAAAAAAAAAAAAAAAAAAAACAAACAAAAACCCACACATCAGCAGTTTCATTTTTTTTTTTAACTGATGCGATTATATACTTTGTGTAGCAATAACTAAATAAATGGAGTGCAGTTCAAGGAGTAAAATAAGTATTTGATCAACAAGCAAAACATGACTTAGTACTTGGTGGAGAAACCCTTGTTGGCAAGCACAGAGGTCAGACGTTTCTTGTAGTTGGCCAACAGGTTTGCACACATCTCAGGAGGGATTTTGGTTCACTTTTCTTTACAGATCTTCTCTAAATCTTTCTTGGCTGTCGCATGGCAACTCAAAGTTTCAGCTCCCTTCATACATTTTCTAACATCTGGAGACTGGCTATGCTACTCCACAACCCTAATGTGCTTCTTCTTGAGCCACTTCTTTTGTTGCCTTGGCGGTATTCAGTGTTCTGGCTGAAGGTTCTCATTCAAACTTTTACAATACATGGCCCCATCCACTAGCCCCTCAATGCAACAAAGTCATCCTGTACCTTTAAAAAAGAGAAACAGCCCCAAAGCATGTTTCCACCTCCGTGCTTGACTGTAGGGATGGTGTTCTAGGAGTCATAGTCAGCATTTTTCTTCCTACAAACACAGCAAGTCGAGTTAATGTCAAAGAGCTCAATTTTGGTCTCATCTGACCACAACACCTTCTCTCAATCATTCTCTGAATCATATAGATGTTCACTGGCAAACTTCAGATGGGCCTGGACATGTGCCTTCTTGAGGAGGGGGACCTTGTGGATGCTGCAGGATTTCAATCCATGGCGGCATATTGTGTTAACAATGGTTTGTTTGGTGACTGTGGTCCCAACTGCCTTGAGAGCTTCTCCCATGTAGTTCTAGGCCGATCCTTCACTTTTCTCATGATCATCCTCACCCATGAGGTGAAATCTTGCATGGAGCTCCAGACCGAGGGCGATTGATGGTTATTTTGTATTTCTTCCATTTGCAAGTAATTCAGTTGTCTTCTTCTCACCAAGTTTCTTGCTGGTCTTGTAGCTCATTCCAG